TTGTGTGTATGTACAGAGAAGGGGAAGAAATGGAGAGTGGAATATAAATTGTAAAATCAAACACCATGGTTAATTGTTATATGCATTTTAAAGCACCATTTGACTTTTAACTATTTGTAGGTAAAACTAATAAAAATTAATAAGAGCAAAAAGAATATAGCAGCACTACATATTTGGACATTGAAAAGCTTTAGAGATATTCTTAAGCACAAAGAAAAATAGCATATTCTAAAAAAATATTTCATTCTGGTAAGAAAAATTATACTTTCTAATAAGGGACCATTAATGGTAGTTATCTTGGAGATTATAAGGTGTTTTTGGGGTACGTTTGAATTATTCACAATGAACATGAATTTATTATTTTTGTGATCAGAAAAATATGGTGGAATAAGAGGTCCTAGTCCTTGTCCTCCCACAGAAATACTGATTTTACAACCATTCATGGCCAAAAATACCTTTATGAGAGCTCCTGAGTCTAGTCAAGAGATTCCAGCATCCAGTAAAGCACAAAATCTGAGAACAACCACAATGAAAAGGGCAAGAACAGTTTCACTTTACTCATGTCACCCCTTCCCTGAGCTGGCACAGCACAGTACTGAGAGGTATTCCCCCAGTCTGTGATTTCTCCCACAGGAGAAAGAGAGAGTGGGTGTCCTGCTTCCCCAGTTTTCAGCTACCCAAGAAGCCTGCTTCTCTCTTGTCTCACCCAGAATCCTAAGGGTATTTGCATTTCTGGATCATTGAGGGTCAGCTAAGAAGAAAGAAAAGGGACCGAGTCTCACAACTGACATGTGGATCTCAACAACTGGCCCACAGACCTGACAGTCAGCTGGCCCGCTCAGGGACCCCAGCAGTTAGCAGGCCCAGCGTAGATCCTGGCAGCTGGCCCACATAAGCCCTTGCAAACAGTGCTCCATATGTGTCCCCAGAGACAGCACCTCAAGCATGCCCCTACAACCAGCGCACAGGTTTTGGCCGCCAGCATGGATCTCAGTAGCTGGCTTGACTCTGCAGGACTGGGAGAAGGTGCATAACCCTGAGACTGCTTGTTCAGTAAGGAAGGAAAGCAATGGAGTTTGCATCCATTATCCTGGCTGCTCTGAGCACCCCTCCAGGGACTGGTGAGTCAGCACTTGGCCTGGCTCTGCAGGTTAGGGAGAAGGCTTACAGTCTGAGGAGGTGAAAGGCTTGTACACTGAAAACTACAAAACATTGCTGAAATCCAAAAAGACACAAATTAATGAAAAGACACCCATGTTTGTGGATTTAAATTACTGTTGTTAAAATGTCCATGTTCCTCAAAGTGATCTACAGAGTCAATGAAATTTCTATCAAACCCCAACAACATATTTTTTTATTAAGGTATTATTGATATATACTCTTATGAAGGTTTCACATGAAAAAACAATGTGGTTACTACATTTACCCATATTATCAAATCCCCACCCAAACTCCAATGCAGTCACTGTCCTTCAGTGTAGTAAGATGCCACAGATTCACTGTTTGCCTTCTCTGTGCTACACTGTTCTCCCCGTGATCCCCCACACCATGTGTACTAAACATAATACCCCTCAATCCCCTTCTCTCTCCCTCCCCACCCACCTTCCCACACCCCTCCCCTTTTGTAACCACTAGTTCATTCTTGGAGTCTGTGAGTCTGCTGCTGTTTTGTTCCTTCAGTTTTGCTTCATTGTTATACTCCACAAATGAGGGAAATCGTTTGGCACTTGTCGTCCTCTGCCTGGCTTATTTCACTGAGCATAATATCCTCCAGCTCCATCCATGTTGTTGCAAATGGTAGGATTTGTTTCCTTCTTATGGCTGAATAGTATTCCACCTCTTCTTTATTCATTCATCTACTAATGGACACTTAGATTGCTTCCATATCTTGGCTATTGTAAAAAGTGCTGCAATAAACATAGGGGTGCATATGTCTTTTTGAGTCTGAGAAGTTGTATTGTTTGGGTAAATTCCAAGGAGTGGGGTTCCTCGGTCAAATGGTATTTCTATTTTTAGTTTTTTGAGGAACCTCCATATTGCTTTCCACAATGGTTGAACTAGTTTATATTTTTATTAGTAGTGTAGGAGGGTTCCCCTTTCTCTGCATCCTCACCAGCATTGATTGTTCTTAGTCTTTTTGATGCTGGCCATCTTACTGATGTGAGGTGATATCTCATTGTGGTTTAATTTGCATTTCCCTGTTGATTAGTGATGTGGAGCATCTTTTCATGTGTCTGTTGGCCATCTGAAATTCTTTGGAGAACTGTCTCTTCATATCCTCTGCCCATTTTTTAATCGGGTTATTTTCTTTTTGGGTGTTGAGGCATTTAAGTTCTTTATATATTTTGGATGTTAACCCCTTGTCAGCTATGTTATTTACAAATATATTCTCCCATACTGTAGGATGCCTTTTTGTTCTGTTGATATTGTCCTTTGCTATACAGAAACTTTTTAGTTTGATGTAGTCCCATGAGTTCATTTTTGCTTTCATTTCCCTTGCTTGAGGAGATGTGTTCAGGAAGAAGTTGCTCATGCTTATTTATATTCAGGAGATTTTTGCCTATGTTGTCTTCTAAGAGTTTTATGGTTTCATGATTTATATTCAGGTATTTGATCCATTTCGAGTTTACTTTTGTGTATGGGGTTAAACAATAATCCAGTTTCATTCTCTCACATGTAGCAGCTGTCCAGTTTTTCCAACACCAGCTATTGAAGAGGCTGCCATTTCCCCATTGCATGTCCATGGCTCCTTTATCATATATTAATTGACCATATATGGTTGGGTTTACATCAGGGCTCTCTAGTCTGTTCCATTGGTCTATGGGTCTGTTCTTGTGCCAGTACCAAATTGTCTTGATTACTGTGGCTTTGTAGTAGAGCTTCAAGTTGGGGAGCATAATCCCCCCAGCTTTATTCTTCCTTCTCAGGATTGCTTTGGCTATTCGGGGTCTTTTGTGGTTCAAACCCCAACAATATTTTTGCAGAAATAGGAAAACTCATCCTAAAGTTCATATGGAATCTCAAGGGACCAACCCCAATGGCCAGAATAATGTGGAAGGAGCATAAATTTAGAGGACTCATATTTCTTGATTTCAAAACTTGCTGCAAAGCTACAGTAATCAAAACAGTATGGTGCTTGCATAAGACAGACATAGAGACCAATAAAATAGAATAAAATAAATAGTCAAGAAATAAAATCCTCAAATATATGGTAAAAGGATCTTTGATAAGGGTGCCAAGAATATACAATGAGGAAGGATCACCTCTTTAATATATGGTATAGGGAAACTGCAATGTTTCCTGATGTGAGGTGATATCTCATTGTGGTTTAATTTGCATTTCCCTGTTGATTAGTGATGTGGAGCATCTTTTCATGTGTCTGTTGGCCATCTGAAATTCTTTGGAGAACTGTCTCTTCATATCCTCTGCCCATTTTCATATCCTATGCCCATTTTAATATATGTTCACATGCAAAAGCATGAAATTGGACCCTTAGCTTATAAAAATAAACTGAAAATGGATTAAAAACTTAAGCATAACACTTGAAACTGTCAAACTTCCAGAAAACATAAGAAAAAACTTTTCGACATTGGTCTTGGCAATTATTTCTTGCATTTGACAGCAAAGCACAGAAGACAAAAGCAAAAATAAACAAATAGAATTTCATTGAACTAAAAAGCTTCTGCACAGCAAAGGAAACAATAAAAAAGATTAAAAGGCAAACTATGGAATGAAGAAAACATTTGTACGCCATGTATCTGGTAATGAATCTGATAAAGGGTTAATATCTAAAATATATAAGAAGCTCCTAAAACTCAATAGCAAAAAACCAAATAACCCAATTAAAATGGGCAAAGGACCTGAATAGATATTTATCCAGAGAAGGCATGTAAATAGGCAACAAGTATATGAAAAAGTGCTCAACATCACTAGTCATCAGAGAAATGTAATTCAAAACCACAGTGAGGTATCACCTCAACCAGTTAGAATGGATATTAAGTAACAGGCGTCCATGAAGATTTGGATAAAAAGGAGCCCTTGTACACTGTTGGTGAGAATGTATATTGGTTTGGTCAGTGGAAAACAATATAAGTTTCCTCCAAAAATTAAAAATGAAACTATCATATGATCTGCAATCCCATTTCTGAATATATCCAAAGGAAATGAAATTCACGGATGAACTTGGAGTACATTTTGATAAGTGAAATAAACAAGACACAAAATAATAAATGCTACATGATCCTATTTAGATGAGGAATCTCAAACAGTTAAACTTACAGAAGCAGAGAGTGAATGGTAGTTACCATGGGATAGGTGGGGAGGAACAGAGAAGGTGTTGGTCAAAGCGTATAAAATTTCAGTTAGGCAAGAAGAATCTTCATAGAGATAATGCTGTGCAACATAGTGTCTATAGTTAACAATATTGTATTGAATATTTAAGACTTTTCTAAGAAGGTAGATCTTATGTTAAGTATTCTTATCATACACAAAAGTTAAAAATTAAACAAAGATAAAGAGGGTGGAGAAAACTTGGAGGTGATGGATATGTTTATAGAATTGATTATAGTCATGGTTTCACAAATGTACAAACTTACTTCCAACTTCATCAAATTATATGCATTAAATATGTACACTTTTTGTATGTTAATCATACCTCAATGAAGTGTTTTAAAAATTAAAAAAAAATTAAGCCCACAAAAAATCAGAGAATTCTTCCAAGGGAAAGTGGAATATAATTTCTCATATGGGGTGAAAGAACAGAATTAAAAAATCTGAGCTCAGAAAGGTAGGAAATGATGTGGAGGGGGAGGCTCATACAATGTGTCCTTTCTCCATTCATATTTTGTTGAAGGTTTGTGAGATGATTCTGTCAGAGAATATAATTTAATAACAACAGGAATGGTGACAGCGATAGCTGACACTCATTGAGGTCGTTTATGTGCTAAACTCTGTTAAGGGTTTCTTATTCTTACAAAACTGTTACTCTTTCATTTATTTATTTAAAAATGTTTATTGAACAATTTATGAACAAGATACTGTGACAGGTGATAGGGATGCAGTGACAAACAAATTGGCACGGTCCCTGCTCCTGCAAAGCTTACAGTATAGTAGGAGAAACAAACATTAAACAAATACAAATAAATATTTAATGATGTGATAAATGCCATGGAAGGCGTGGCAGAACAGTAAGGGATCCTGTTTAGACTGAGGGGCCTGCAGCCGCTCTTACAGGGTGATGATGCAAGCTGAGACCTAAAGAATACGGAGGAACCAGGCAGACAGAGGAGGGGCCTTTAGGCAGATGTGAATGACTCTGCCCTAGAGCTCTTTTCTATGACAGAGCTGCTGAGAGAAGATCACGAAGAATAAACAGAGACAGGGGAGGGTGGCCATAGCTGAGGCTCCAGATGGGCCAGCCCACCCAGGGCCGTGGGGACATGGTTTCATTCCACGGGCACTGGACTGTCTTGCAGAGTTTTAAGCACATGACTGGTATTAAAAAATATTACTCTGTCTTGTGGTGAATGGTTTGGAGGACACAAGAGCAAAAGTTGGGGAGAGTTGGGGAGTTTATTATACATTTCAGGTTTGGGATGATGATAGTTAGATAGAGGATGATGGTTGGAGATTTGGAGAGAAATGGATAGACCCAACGTGTATTTCAAGATAAGAGTCCAACAGGCCTGGTGATGGAGAAGCTGAAGTTGAAGATACCTCAGGTTGCTGGTTTGAGGAACAGGGCTGCTGCATTACCATCCTTTCTCAGTCTAGGAGACCAAAGCTCCAAGAGGTTAGGTAACATGTCTAGTAAATTATGTATGTATATTTGAGCACGGCCTGTCCAACACCAGAGACAATTCGTAACAGCACACTCTCACCCCATGAGTCGCAGTCCTGCTGCTTGCTGAAAGGAGAGAGGTGGCTGCCTCTGAGTTACAATGTCTCTATCAGCCGTAACTCCATTTGTTACCAAAGAGAAAGTCAATATCCATGTGTGTTATCCAAAGCGTGTTTTGGCTAGGAGAGGATTTGAAAATGTTATTTGGATACATTCTGGACATGATGATTTTTCTTAGATGTTGACCTAGGTAAGTAGGTTCAAGTCCGAAGGACTGGAAATGATCATCTAGGTATTCATTCTGTTGCCAGGCGGAAACCAAGTTCTGTCCTCTTTCATGGGATCAGGAGAGGATCCTTTGAGACCTTAGGTGATGCTGTTAATGGCAGTTGCCCTGGAAGAAATGGGAAAAAGAGGAAAATGAAGTCATTTGTTAGGGGCCTGAACTTCAAGCCACCCCGAATGGCTGCAGAGGAGGTGTGGAGAGCATTAACAGGAAGACAGGGATATTGATAGCTAAGGCAGGACTAAATTAAAAAAACAAGTGGGTTGAAAACATGCATCAGTTATGCATGTTAATCTTAATGCAAGATAGCTTCTTGGATATGCTTTGGTGATCTCCTGAGACTTCCTGTGTCCTGCTGGTGTTTGTGCATCTGTAAAATGGTTCCTTTGCTTTTTACTTTATTTGCAGTCATATGTCTGAGGAGAGGGGTAAGAATGTAAGCCCATGGGGCAATCAGGAGCTTACCTCTTTGGGATGATAAACTATGGAGTAAATTGTAGAGCAATCATTGCTTTTCACAGGTGTTGGGATATCCACATTCTGTAAAAAATAATTACAACCATTTGGCTCACAGAAAGACATGGAAACTGGCCTCCCAGGATATATAGTGTTATTTAGAAATATGCCACCTGCAGGGGGGTGGGGAATTGCCCATGCATGGCAGAAGAGTTCCTGATGCCTGACCAAGACCATCCTGTTTCTGTTAGAGGGGAGGCGGGGAGACCAAGGGCTGATCATGCCTTTAGTGTCCTCTACTGTGGAAGGTTGCAAGCTCTTGCCCCTCTTCCCCTCTTGAGAGACTGCTCTGAGCTCCCCTCTCTTCCCTACTTTCAGGGTGAGAAGCCTCCTGCTATGGAATTGTCTCCTTTGGAAACTCTCAAACTTAATTGAACTCTGATCCATTTGGCAAGTATTTACTGAGCATGGTGCCCAGGGGACATAAAAGAAAAGAGAGGAAGATGTAATTTTCACTTTCAGGAAGCTTGCAATTAAGCTGAAGGACCAAGATTTAGTGATGCATTAAGCAGTCAGAGAACTGTGCAGAGCAGGGTATGAGTAAACATCCCTGTGGGGGCGGGAGCAGTGGGAACGGGAAAGGTCTGCGCGGTAACCTGCAGCTCCTGTCGCTGCCTGTCTTCTTCGTGGTGGAATGGCCAGATGGTAGTGGGGACAAGTTTGTGAATAATGACTGAAAAGTAATGACAGTGACAGAGTATGAAGCTGAAAGGACTCACCCTGTTCAGGTGAGCGACCTGTGCGTACACGGTGTTCCCCGGAGAGAATGAAGTGTACCCTGAGCTCCCCGTGGTCCCCGCTGTTGACACAGAAAGGCACAGTCAATGGCACGGCTAGTCTGCTCTCCCAGGACCTTGCTTACCCCAGCACATGTTTTGGCCACAAAGGAACAGTTGTTTGAGGCATTGCCCTTCCTTCGGGTTCACTCATTTTTGACACTCTTTGGAGTTCTGGGTTGAACTAGAACCTTCTCAGCCATGTGATCCATTTTTGACCTTGTCTCTTGGGGGGATGTGGTCTTAAAATACCCTAAAGCTTCAGAGTTTTCCTCTGGGTGCACATGCAGGCCAGGAAATTTCTGGGTCCAGGTGGCACTGCCTATACAACAGCTAGAGGACCTCGTTGGCGAGCATAATGGAGCCAGGTTGTTTCCCCTATATAATATTATGAAGCCTCTCAGAGGTCCTTAAGGTGGTTTTGATTATATTAGAGATGAGGAACTGGAGCCTCAGAGAGTCAGTTGACCTGCCGCAAAGTCACACAAGATGTGACTGGGCAGGAACTTGTGTGCATGTCTTCTGACTTCAAACCTCATCCCCCGTCCTCCACATAGGATGTCATCTATCTCTCACCCAAGAAAGGAGGCTCACTATCAGCCTGAATCCAGAGCGTGTGCTCCTGTCCTTATATCACACTTTCGCTTTTGACTGGGTCTCCTCAATGCCTGGAGCGTGGCTGAGTAGAGTGTTGGGGCTGGCAGTGCATCTTTGGGCCTTTGATGTTCTAATCCCGTCCCTGCCCTGGACTTGCCAGGTGAGAACAGACTGACCATGAACCCTTCCACTGGCACTTAGTTTCTCCATTAGCAGAGTAGGGAATGACCCTAATCCCAATCTAAGGAATTGTGAGAATGACTGATTCTCATGCCCGTAAGGACTCTATCGGTTCCACTGGGGACAGACTTACACACTTACAGGCCATCTCCCCTTGCACCATCTGGGCCACCTAGTGCTGGCATCCTGGCTTCCTCCTCTCTCATTATCCAGCCCTTAGACCGGCCCCCTTCCTCTTCCCATCTGTTTTATGATTAGAACCTAAGAGTCCGAAAGCTCACCAGAACTCTGGGGTCGCCAAGTCCATGAATGAAAGAGAGCTGGAAAGTAAAATCAAGGGAAATGAAATTTGTGACTGTCTCGAGAGAGGTTTCCACCCCCAACCCCCGCACGGGTGCCTCTAGAGAATGTGGTAGGAGGGGACCTGAAAAGGAAGGGCAGGAAGGCCCTGGGCTGGGTCCTGAGTTTCCCAGGAGGACACCTCCCTCAGGAGACTAGCAGGTGTGGGGGCACCCCCGGGAGTTGTCCTGGTGGACTCGCCCAGCCAGGGTTTGCATCCTCCCCCCCTTTACCCAACTTCCACAAGGCAGGTAAAGGGAGACCCCAGACTCTAAGTCTCTGGAAACTTGGAGAAGAGACAAGTAGGAAGAAAGGAAACCTGCCTGATATTTTCTTCCAAAGCAAAAGTGACACAAAGATGGCTAAACATATCAAAATAACCACAACCATAATTATAATCCAACTGGTACCCAGGTATTGAGAGTTCTTATTCAAAACACCTGAAAAGAGAAAAAAGAAGTTGTATTGAGATGCATCAGGTGAGGCCCAGAGTTTTACTCAGAGCCTCCCGTGAGCCTTTTCCAGGCTACCTTTGGGGGTTGGGGTGGGTGGGTTTATTGATACCCAGATGCTCTGGGCAGCCTTTCTGGAAGGGGGAGCCCCCTGTTGTAGACAGGGCAGGGTGGAGCCTGGTTGGAGGAGAGGGGGCAGCAATCCTGCGTTCCCCCAAGGACTTTGCTCTTGGGTTGGAGTCTGGGCTGGGGGAGGGGAAGGGAGGAAGTCTAGACCTCTGGGGATAGTGAGAGGTACAGCACGCCAAAGGGTGTTTTGGGAATCACGTAGTGTATGAGGACACACCACAGCTCACAGCTGCTCAAGGCTCTCAGAGAGACCTGGGACAGACCATTACCTTTGCACAGACTCCGGGCAGAGACAGAGGAGGATAAATGGCTGACAGGATTCTCAGCTATGCAGGTGTAGTTCTGTTCACTGAAATTCTTAAGGTACCTGGAGATAGTGAGGTTCGCTTCACTTGAAAGTGTGTTTCCTGAGGCCTGCCACCTCAGTGAGACATTGTCATTTGGATTCTCCACATAGCAGGTCAGGTGGATCTCACAGGTTCCATTCTCATACAACTGAGGATGACTGGCAATCTGTAAGTTCCTCAGTCGCCCTGTGTGCAGAGAAAAGGCCAAGATTAAGGACCAATGGCTTGGCTCAGCCTTCTGAAAAATACCCTTCCCCTCAATGCTTCTGTATTTTACTTGACACTTTTCTGTATGACCTTTATATTCTGTAAATAACTTGGTTTGCATTGCCCATCTGATGGGACCAAGGTTTGGGGTGGCCAAATGATAAGGGACATTGGTGTGAAACAGAGCAGCCAATAGGAGAAGAGGGCAGGGACCGACTGAGGTTGCTACCCAGCAGTTGGGTGATTTGGGGCTATCACTTTACTTTTCTGGGTCCCTGTTTATTCCTGGGGTCCTTCCTAGCCTTGTACACTGTTCCTTGTACAAAAGCACTTTGGAGGTTAAGCTGAGGGCCACCTCTACCTTAAGGTGAGAAACTAGAAGACCAGGTACAATTCCTCCATCATCAGAAGTCCCTAGCTGGGCTGGGGTAAAAGATGAAAGCTTAGCTTCATGGGGAACCGTAATTCCCACAGGTCTGTGGGAATTCTGGTCCTCATTTGCATCCGATGCTGGTTCTGGTGATGACAGAGACCCAATGTGCAGCTTCAGCAAGACAGAGAGTGAAATGTTCAGAACCAAAACACTGTGAAAGGAAGAAGCAAAGAAACTGAGAAGGCAAGCAGTTCTAGGGAGGAAAAAAGTGCAGTATATTCATGCATTGGAGAAAACAACTATCACAGAAATTTCTGAGAACAGAGACTAGAAAATACTGGCTAGTAAGATGTCAGTAGGTATGAATCCACGGGGTAATGGGAACAGTGCAGAAAAGGCAACTGATTTAGACTTAGCCTGACGGTTGAAGTATAGGTGACTCGAAAGAGAGCAGAATGACTCCGGCTGTCTGATCAGAGGAGACCGAGCAATGCTTTAAGCTTAGCTGACTGAGTAGGAGTGGTGGGACGTATCTTGCCAGAACACAGCTTTCATGTAGTGACAAAAGTGTTGGATCTGGAGTTAGGAATACCAACTTTAGAATCATGGTTTTGTCATTTACTGGCTACACGGGTAAATTTTTAATCTCTCCAAGCCTCAGTTTCCTTGTCTGTAAAACTGGGCAATTACACCTATTTCTTAAGTAATTACAAGGATTAAATGAGACAGTGCCTAGAATGGCAATGGCAAATATTTGACATGAATGTATATCTCTTTCAACCTCTGTCCATGGCTGACCTAAAAAATCTATCTTGTTAACTTTTTCCACTTAATGAATATATAACTGTGTACTTAACAGTTCTACTTGGATATATGATGTGTATCTCAAACTCAGCATGTTCAAAAGGACTCTTTTTTTTTCCCCCCTACAAAACCTGCTTGCTCTGTAGCCTTCCCTACTTTGATTGATAACAACTACACCTTCCATTCACGCAAGCCCAAACCCTGGAGACAGCCCTGCCTTGTCTCTCCACTGCACACCACATGGGGATACCTGGTGGCCTTACCTCCACAATACACCCAGAATCCAACCACTTCTCACTGCCTCCACTGCTGCCACACTGGTGTAAGGCACATCATCTCTTGCTTGGGCTGCAGTGACCTCCTAATTGGTACATTGGCTTCTCCCCTGGTCCCTTATGGTCTGTTCTTAACAGAGCAGCCAAACGGATCCTTTCAACACGTACGTCAAGTCGTATCATTTCTCTGCAAGACCCTCCAATGGTTCTCAAGCTTACTAAGAGTAAAAGCCAAAATCCTTGTGATGATTCTCAAGGCTTCCCTGATGTAGTCCCCTATTTCCTTACTGACCTTGTTTCCTGTTACTCCCTCCCTCACTCTGCTCCTTCATGTCTGACCTCCTTGATAGTCCTTGAGCATGCCGGGCACAGGGGAATGACTGTGATGGATGGCTCTTCATTCAGATATCTGCATGGCTTACTCCCTGCCAACCGGTCTTGGCTCAGATGTCATCTTCCCAATGAGGCCTATTATAACCACTCCATTTAAAAGTGGCTTCTGCTCCCTGTCACTTCTGATGCTCGTTTGCTGTTCTAATGGCTCTTTTCTCCATAGCACCCATGGCTTTCTTCATACTGTGTCATTTGTTTATACATTGTGTGTATTGTTCATTATCTCCCCCTATATTCCCCACCAAGGAGGGCCACTCCATCGGAGCAGGGATCTTTGTTTTCTACTAGGCGCTGATACATTCAAAATGCCTAGGACAGTGTTTCATACATCTTCATGGTCAACAAATACTGTTGCCCCAATAAATAGACTTAACATAGCTTCAACATCTTCCTTAACACTGAACTCTAAGTATTAACTCCCAATTAATTGATATTGGCCCATAAGATCATATCTTTGCCATCCTAGCTGGGTACATACAGAATAATTGGTCAATGTTTCTTAAAAAACCTACCTATACAGTTCATACCATGAAATTCCTTTGCACTATATGGTATACTTGCACATACCTTTGTGTACGTGCCTTTGAAGGAGAGGTACTCCAAAAAGCCCTGAGAAGGGATTGGCATTGAACTGCAGGAGTGTAGTTGCTGCAGATGTCATGTGTGCTCTTCTGAATAGTGGCAGAAGAACATTGTCTTGACAAGTATAATGGAGCCCGATATGGGGTCCTTTCCCAGACCTTCCACTGGATGTGTCTCTCTTCTCTCCAGCATCCTAGCGCTGCCTTGATGGTCACTGATTACCCAGAGTGATTCTGCCTGCAGTGAGTTGAGAGATGACCCCTAAAAAGTTATATGCATGTTTTGATTCTCAGAATCTTATTTGAAAAAAGGGATTTTGCAGATGTAATTGAGTTAGACGAGATGATCCTGGATGATCTGGCTGGGCCCTAACGCCGCTGACAAGTGTCCTCATAAGAGAAGAGCAGAGAGATATTTGAGAGATAGAAGAGGAGAAAACAGAGAGGAGGCAGAGGCAGTGACCACGAGGCACAGGTTGGAGTGACGCAGCCACAGGCCAAGCAGCACCAAGGAAAGCCGACAGCACGCAGAAGCCGGAGGAGGCAAAGAGCAGGTTGTCCTGATCTAGGGCCTCACAAGGAATGCAGTCCTGCCCACACCTCGATTTTGGATTTCTGGCTTCCAGAACTGTGACAGAATAAAATTTCTGTTGTTTCAAACCATCAAGTCTGTGACATTTCATTTTGGCAGCCTCAGGAGACTAATACACTGGCCCAGGGTGATTTTGCGCCTTCAGTTAGAATCTGTGTTCAGAACCTTCCAGACATCCTCTCTCCCATAGTGACCTGTTCTGTGTCCTATACTTTCAGGGATATAACTTTGACTAATCGAATATGATAAATATGCCAAAAACTCAGGGGATACTAAAAGTTAACCTGTAATCTATTTGTGTTGCCATTTTGTTTTAATGGTGCTTTTTTTAGATACCATGTCTTAATCCAAAGACCTCTGCATGAATTTTAGACACTGTGGATTCTCTAGCAGATAAGGATTATCTGAGTGGCCTTTAAAGTTGCCAATTTAATGCTTGACTCTCCTATACAACATTCCCTCTAAATGATTATCTTAAAGTCATTCATGGCGTCTCTCTACATCACTGATTGCTAGAAGGATTTTTTTTTCTGATATTGATTCATAAGCTCTCTCATAGTTTCCATAATTCTATGTTGAATTTTCTGGGTAAAATAGTGTTCGAAATTAAATAACCTTGATAGAAAAAGTATTTTTGTTTATCAGCGCATCCTTATGGAACACTTTCTGGGTGGACCACTGTTCTGTACACCGTGTGCTCCATCAGCTCCGACTCGCCTTTGTTTAAAGGGAGGTATCATGTCAAGTAGTTACGTGGGAAGCTCTCCCACTTGCTATCTTTTCAGGCTTGTGTGACTGACACTGCGCCTCGGGGGTAAGGAGGAGCTTTTGAGAGGGTTACATGACAGACATATGTAATGCATAAGGGAACAGAATCATAGATGTCTGACTTGCTTAACTTCCTCAACATTTCTGGTTGATTTATTGTGTGAGGCAGAGTGAAGTGGTTTGGGGCCAGGTCATAAGACTTAGGCTCTGTTTTCAACTCTGTCACTAACTGGCTGTGCAATGCCATTGAATTGCTTTACAGCTGGAATCTCAGTGTGACTCCAAATGACATACTTTTACCACTAGGCAATAGTACACACTTACAGTCACATAGGATTGGAATATGTAATATCTTCTAGCCCATACATAGTTAAATCCCACTCCTTGACTCACTGAAGATCCTCAGCGTGGAATCAGAAAACAATATGGAGGTGTTTGTGCCCATCTGGACGCGGTAAGTTCCCGTATCTGCCATCATCAGGTTGCTGAGCTGCAGGGAGTAGGACTGAGTGACCTGCAGCCGATCTTTCCGTCGTGGGTCGGTCACCATGATTTGAGGACTTCCCACTTGGTTCACCTGTATGAAGACGATCGATGTTCCATTGTGAAGCCAGGTGATGTACTCAGTCTCCCGTCCTGCAGAAAGCTGCAGGGGAAGAGTTACGGCCTCCCCCAGAACCCCGGCCACCATCAGCGGGGTTGAGCTGGTTTGTGGAACTGTGTTCCCTGTAAACACAGAAAGGAACCGACATCACTGCCTCTGTCCCCCCGCTGCTCTCTGCACACGTCCCCCTGCCTCTGCCATCCTGTCAGCACTCTGATACTGAAGCCCAGAGACATGGGCAAGAAAGGATTAGGACAAGGGTTGTGCTGGACAATCACAAAGGCTCCAGCCCCACAATATGTCTGCCAATCTTGGTTAGTGGGCAGTTGGCCCAGATGACCCTGGCCCAGTCCACCCTCCTGCACTGGCTGGTCACTCCTGGGTCACGGCCACATCATCTGAATCAGCCCTCTGAGCCCTGGCATGATTTGAAGGGAGACAGGGAACTATGTTAACTTCCCAGCATAGACTCCAAAAGCTGCAAGTCTGTGCTGATGAAGCATAATTAAACTTAACATTTACTGACTACCACTGTTTGTCCAACATAGTAGGCTTCTGAGATTTAGAGGGCCAATGATAGGAATCTACAGTTCTTCTTATACATTATTTCATTTGCTGCTGATGATTCTGAGGCAGGTAGGATAGATATTATTATCTTCATTTATAGATAAAAGAAGAGAGTTTAATTTTCCCAGGGTTACACAGCTAAAGAATAAAACCCAACTTTGACTCCAACTACTGTATGCTCTTTTTATGCTACCAGAGATGTCTTTTCACTTCTCAAAAAGATTATAATCTAGCGAATGGGGAGATAAAACTGATAAATATAAAAGTAATAAATATAACTTCAAAGGAATGTGTAATGACCATAGTCTCATAAGCCTATCTCAGAGCCATTAATGTTGGAGCAAAAAAGGTAAAATAGTCACAATTCTTAAAGAGGATGCATCCTTAGCATTCTTTGGTGTGGAATGCTACAAGCACCAGTTGGTGGTCTTCTCTGTACTGATTTGTCTGACCATGCCTTAATTACTTTGTATCCCAGCACTGTGTCAGACACAAAGTACGATCCAGAAATGTTTGAGTGAATCAATGCATAAAGAACAATAACCATGACCCCAACCTCCAGAGATCTCTCATTTCTCAGGAGAGGATGTAAGTAGGAGAGGAAATGTCTCTTGGGATCCTGATGCATAGCTTCTGGGCAAGCTCACACTTCCTCTTTCTTGAACTGTCATGTGGCTGCTAGGCACATGAACACTGCCATCATTAATGCCCCTCTGTACTACGTCTTTCCCTTCAGCACTTTAACATGCAGCTATTTGTCATCTTGACTCTCGGAACCACAGGGGTAAATATCACAAGCGAAATCTTGGGTAAAGATGTATTTTGCTTTAATTTTAATATTGATTCTATGTATTTAAAGTTAAAAGAAACAGGCCAAACAAGTCTATGCTGTTAAAAGTCAGGACACCAGGACACAGGTCACCTTTGAGGACGAGGGGGTGCTGGAGGGAGCATGACGGGGGGACCTGGGGTTGCTGGTGATGTTCTGCTTCTCGACCCGTGTCTGGATACACAGATTTATTCATTTTGTGATAATTAATTGAGCCGGCATGTAGGATTTGTACATTTTTCTCTTTGTATGTTATATTTAAGTAAAAAAATGGTAAAACAACAGCAGAAAACCAAACCAAAACAAAGTAATTACAAAGGTCTGTAAGGACCAAAATGATCTGGTCATTTTTCTCTCTTTGACCAAATTTCCTTGCTCACTTTGCTCAAGTTATGCTGCCCTGGTCATTCCTTGCATGGACCAGGGCTTGCACACTTGAAATCCCCTCTCCTTGGAATGGGCTTCTCCCAGTACCCATGTGGCTCAGTCTTCTGTCTCTATTAGGTCATTGACACAAACATTCCCTCTCAGAGAGGGTTTCTGTGACCACTCTCTCCTAAATGCCAACCCTCACCCCTGTACATACAGCTACCTTTGAATTTATATTTTTCTATAATACCTACTGTCTAGTACACTTTAAATTTGCATATTTATTTTTTTCTAATTGTCTTTCCCTTCCACTATAATGTAAGCTCCATGAAAGCAAGGGTTTTTGTCTGTTTTGTTCATTGTCATGAACACTCTTGAATAATGCTTGTCACATAGTAGGCACCCAACGAATATTTGTTGAGTGAAGGACACGTCTCCATTCTTTCTCTTGGAGGGTCTTTGTCCAAGAAATGAAGGGCTAATTCCTCTTTGTAAGGAGCGTGAGCATGCCCTGTGGCCCAAGGACTCCCCAGGAACTCTTCCTGCCCTGCCTGGCACATTCCTTTAAGATGCCTTTGTTTTGATAGATTACAGTTACTCACTTATTTAACAGGTCATTCTCTGTATTATTTGCTCAGTATTATGCCAATTCAGAGAGTAAAGCCTTAGAAGTCATGGCATTCAGACCATATTATTAGATACCTTTATGTGCCAGTTTCTAGTTTAAAGATGGGGAATACAAATATGAATAAGACATGTCAGTCCTCTGGTCTCAGCACGTGGTAGAGGAACCCGACAGGTACATGAGTGATTATGGTGCAGTGAGTTAGGCACTAACCTAGGATAGGGCTTGCCTCGTCATTGCCTTTGTACCACCGACTGCATCCTGTGGACTCAATATCAAGTACGTCTTTCTCCTTATTATAATTGAGATTGTTTTTCTCTCTTTTCCATAACCTGGAGAGTAGGGGTCATACTTATTATTTCTGCATCCCTAGCACTTAGCACTATTTCTAGCTCGATACATGCTGAATTGAAAAGACATATATTGAATTGAATAGAGGCATATGCTCTGTGGGAGTACAAACAGAATGATGAGCCCAGGAGAGTTGTGGGTTGTCAGGGAACACTTCACAGAAGAGATAATATTGTAACAAGATTTAATAAAAGCAAGAGCTTCTCCATTGCTCAGTTATTTGTGATTCTTCCAAGAATGCCCTGCTCTTCCTTTGCTTTGTTGTTCCTTGTGTCCAGAATGCTCTTCCCTACCTTTCCCACTTGGTGAGCTCCTATATATCCTTTGATAATGAGGTCGAATATCTGTGTGCCTCTCTTATACTTGTGGGGGTTTTGCATTGGTACAGGGGAAGGAGAAAGGAGTTTGTGATGGACAAAGAGAACAAGGTAGTGGAAGAAGGAGAATGAGATGGTAGAAGTAGTTCCTTGTAAGTCTAAGAAAAAGAAAAAAGATTTGAGGCACTAAACTCAGGGAAGAGGAAGGCAAGAAGTTACTGAAAATGTTCAAAAGACTCTCTGTGAGACTTTAGACACAAGGAGAGCCGCTTCAGGGCCAGGTGATGTGGTGTGGTGTGGCCCAGAGGATGCAAGGAGGCCCTTTCCTCTACTCTGCCTAGAACCAGCACTGATGCTTTGGGAATGATCTGGGCCAGCATCCTTGGCATGGATATTGATGTTCTTGGGGTAGACAGGACGTTGGGTCTCCTCTGAATGGCACTGCAGGCAACAGTTGTGGAGGGCTAGAGCCAGAAGAGGTTAAGAATTGGGAGAATGCCTCAGGACAGCAACTGCAGGCTGCTTTGGGGGCCCATGGGAAGCACCCCTTTGAGGACCCTTAGACATCACTGGGGAACCATTTGGAGCATGGGGGTGGTACTGAGGCCTTGCCTGAGTCAGCAGACACTTGGTGTACATTTGTTTACACGTTACACCCATCGGATGATGTGCTTCTGGGAACAATGTCTTAGCTCTTTATAGCCCCAGAACTTGGCCCAGGGAAATCAGTGAACTCTAGGTAGACCGAGATTTTAATGTGAAATGCTGTTAATGTTTATAGGAATAAAAGAGGAATTACAAAGCAAAAATACAATAATACTGACTCTAATTTATCTATATAGTTACTTGTATCAGTGTTCCTTATTTCTTGCTAGGAGTTTGAGTTACTGTCCAGGGTGCTTCCATTTCAACCTCAAAGATTCCTTTTAACATTTCTTATAGTGCCAGTCTACTAACAATGAACACTCCATTGGTAGTGAAATGAAAAACATTAATGGTTACCTGATTAATGTTTTTTAAGAAACATAGAAAGCAATGTTTTAGGAAGGAGGGGGGAAGATAGGATTGAGTTGATTCTGAAAAAGAGAGAAAAGTTAGGGAAACTTTGGGTTTTTCAACTTAGAGAACTAGCTTAGGCTTGTCTACAGGAAAGAAGGATGTAGTGGACTATTTCAGCTTGGTGGTGGGTATCTCGTGTAATTTACTGAAGTGCAAAATAGATGGCTGTATAGGTGCAGAATGGCTTTAAGTGTATCAGTTGTTTACCCTCTGATTGTGTGGTTGGCTGGGAGCTGTGGATTGCTGTTCAGAAGGAGAGTAAGGATTGATATCTTGAGATTTGATAGAGAAAGGAGGAGAAACAGGTAAGACCTTAAGAAGAATGTAGGGTAAAGGGTTGTTACTCTTTAGGGTGATAGAGTCATGAGTTCATTTGGAGCAGAAGAAACTGGTGGAAAGAAAGAAACTAAAGATATAATGAAAGGGACTACAGATGGTCTCCAACTTACAGTGGTTTGATTTATGATTTTTCAACTTTATGATGATATAAAAGCAACATGCATTAAGTAGAAATCATACTCTGCATTTTGCATTTTGATCTTTTCCTGGGCTGGCAATATGCAGTATGAAACTCTGTCATGATGCTGGGCAGGAGCAGCCCACATCTGGAAGGAGAAGGCACTGGAAGGAGAAGCCACAACTTCCAGTCAGCCACACAATCATGAGGGCAAACAACTGATAACATTTAAAGCCATTCTTTGCCTATACAGCCATTCTGTTGTGCACTTTCAGTACAATATCCAACAAATTACACAAGATATCCAATACTTTACTATCAAATAAGCTATGTGTTAGACGATTTTGACCAACTTAGGCTAATATAAGCATCATTTTGAGCATGTTTAAAGTGGGCTAGGGTAAGCTATGATGTCTAGTAGGTTAGGTGCATTAAGTGAATTTTGACTTAAAATATTTCTAACTTATATTGGGTGTATTGAGACATAACCCCTTGTAAGTTAAAGAAGATCTGTATTCAAAATAAAGTATTTTGTGAGAATATGTAAA